GTTCCACTAAATTCACACTTGGATTATTTACTGCTTCTAGAATATTTTAAACAAATTTTCACCTCAGATTTTTTATGTACTTGCACCCTGTGCCTGGACTTCTTCTTCCTTAGACATCTGTATGACTTTCTACAACACTTTCTGCAGATCTCTGCTCAAAAGTTGTCCCATCACTGAGTCTTCTCTGACTACTTAGCATTCCTTAACCTCCCTTACCTTACTTTATTTCAATAAATACATTTATGCAATAAACACATTTAGAACCACAGATCTTATCTGTTTATTGTCTGCCTCCTCCAATATTACTAGTAGGTCCACCCACAGAAAAGTGTCTGGTTTGCTCTTGTGTTCCCAGCATTTAGAATGTTGACTGGCATGTGGTCAGTGCACAACAAATACTTCTTGAATGGACTGGATGAATGACTGAGAGTTATGCATAGGAAAATAGGGGAACAAAGAGGAGGGTACAGAGTATATCCTGGGAAGGAGGGATGTCAGAGAAAGGTTTCTTAAACAATCTTTGGGCTTCTTCATTTATTCATATTTCATGTGGTCGTTCATTCACATTCATTCAAATTTTTACGGAGCTTTTCTCAGTGTTGGGCACTATTCTAGGACCAGGAATATATACAGATATCATGAAGAAAGAAAAACACCTGTTCTTATAAAACTAACCATTTGGTTCAAGAAAGACAACAAGCAAGCCAACACACAATTAAACAGAAAAAATACCTGATACCGACATACGCTATGTAAGAGATAAAATAACACAATGTGAAAGACAGCTGTTGCTGTTGATTTCTTCCTGAGAGGATTTGTTCCTGAGAGGAGGAGCCTGGTGGGGGCAAGAGGCGCAGAGTCACCACACAGACCCTGGGAATCCTGTGAAAGTGGGCCAGAGGCAAGCAGCCCGCAGACTCATTTATTTCAGTTGGTACAACAGCTTATATAGCCAAGGCAGCCAATCCGGTCAAGGGGCGGTCTATGCTCTAACCAACCACAGCCTGTTGCCAGGCAGGCTCCAAAGCCATCAAATCACAGCCTGTTGCTGGGCAGGCTCCGTTTGCCATGTGGTTTCCAAAGCCATCCAATCACAGCCTGTTGCCCGGCAGGCTCTGTTGCCAGGTGGGTTTCAAAGCCATTCCTGAGTAACTGACCCTCGCTTGCCAGCGGCCATCTTGGCATGGCCTTCTCATTCCACCACAGACAGCTTCTAGGTGGTGACTTAAGATTAGTTCTTTAGGAAACCAGGTATTTCTAGGAAGTGACATCTGAGTGGTAATGATCAGAAAGCAGCAGGTGAAGATGAAGGGGTGGGTGTTGCTGGCTGAACAGCCACAGCAACATTCTAAAGTAGGAAAGCCTTGGACTGTTCAGGCAACCCAAAACTGCACATGCCACTGCAGAAACCCATGCAGAGCATTCCACTGAAAGGCGGACAAAGATGCAGTGTGTAATCAGACAGGAGGATGCTTAAGAATGAGTAGGATCTAGGAGGTCAGATGAGGAAGGATAGGTGCACAAAATGGCTAAGAAAAGGTAAACAGGCAGAAATAGGTCAGTATTTTTAAGCAACTTGGGGAAATTCATTTCTACTGTGCTCAACACACAACCAAAGATGGAATCTGGAATACTGTGTGGGTATACTGGCTTTTTATGGAGCTTCTGGCACCATATTTTGTTGCAGTTGAGGAAAGAGAATTATCTCTAGAAAACCCATCTTTAGGGAGAACAGCTATATTTATTCTACCATAAAGGACTACAGTAAAAAGCATATTCTTAGAAGACTCAGACATTATGTATTTGAGCTCCTATTAAGTTACAGCTGAGAGGCAACTGCAACTTTGCATGTGCTACTTAATTTTTAATATAACCTCAGACCTGCAAGCTGCTACCATCCCTAAATTAGACACTGCACTGAGGGATAGGGCAGGTAAAGTCACTTGTGGTGGAGAGCCGGGCCTTAGCCCCACATCTTCTGGGCCCAGTGCTGTTTCCACCATTGTCCAGCACCTCTTTTGCTAACTCATTCACCTGCCTAGAATGATCTGTGCCACAGGTTTATTCTGTGGGCTTTGACTTCTGTAGTTTTCCTTTGGCTGCATCTGGCTTCTCTGTGCCTCCTCTGATTGAGAAGCTACACCTTTCTCTTTTCCCCTCTGCTATTCCTAGTCAATGCCATGCGTCATGCAGGCTGCTCTGGTTGAACAGCATCCTTCCTCTACTGACAAAAATGATGCAAAACAGTAAACTCAAAGATGGGATTAATGTGCTCAGACACATTTCTTTTTCGATAGTAACCGAGTCCACAGGATGTGTCCAAGTGTGTGGGAATCTTAACAGACTGGAAGTTTTGTTAACAGTTGGGACCCTGTTATCAGTAGAACCAGGTTCTGCAGAGAAGGTAATGCTGAATTCATGACAAGGAATTTAATTTAGGCCCACAATTTATCAAGTAAATGGTGACTTATGAGCAACTATTCAATGTGTATGTCATAATGGCCTGCTGCTGACTGGTTTTATGCATTGAGATGGAAGCCATTTAGAAACCATTACTTTATGCATCATGTTAGAAGGCTTCGGGAGGTGTACTAAGATAAAATATTTATCCAGGAGGAAACAAAAAGAAAGGTGAAAGTTTCTTTCACAAGGCTCACTAGGTTAATCCTCTACCTGTGGCACCGGCACCCTGGATTCTAGTCCTGGTTGGGGTGCCGGATTCTGTCCCGGTTGCTCCTCTTCCAGTCCAGCTCTCTGCTGTTGCCTGGGAGTGCAGTGGAGGATGGCCCAAGTGCTTGGGCCCTGTACCTGCATGGGAGACCAGGAGGAAGCACCTGGCTCCTGGCTTCGGATCGCTGCAACGGCCACTTGGGGTGTGAACCAAGGGAAAAAGGAAGACCTTTCTCTCTGTCTCTCTCTAACTGTCTAACTCTGCCTGTCAAAAAACAAACAAACAAACAAACAAAAACAATGGTACATTTTACAGTCTTGCACCACAAATCCCTACTACATATTCATCACTACACAGCGTAAATGTGTAGTTGAGACAGGACCAAACTTCCATTGTAAATAAAGTTGAAAAAATATGAATAAACAATAGCTGTTGCAAGAACCATTCAATTTCTTAGTTTTGGGATGTTTATGACACATCCAACGTTTTCAAGTACTTTTGCATTAGTGGTAAAATCAACAGTGAATAAAAATTCCAAGATGTCGAGAACTTTAGCAATAACAAATGCAGTTACTGTCCCTTGAAAGGGAGATAGATTTTTTTTTTTGATAAATGATAAGGCCCTGAAATAGGAAAAAGGATTTTTACACAATATTAGAATATCTGGAATATTAGAATATCTAGAAGGCAAGAGAGAAGGTAAGGACTGGCCAAGCTACTGAAAGAAAATATTTTTTTTTTTTTTTTTTTTTTTGACAGGCAGAGTGGACAGTGAGAGAGAGAGAGACAGAGAGAAAGGTCTTCCTTTGCCGTTGGTTCACCCTCCAATGGCCGCCGCGGTCGGCGCGCTGCGGCCGGCGCACCGCGCTGATCCGATGGCAGGAGCCAGGAGCCAGGTGCTTTTCCTGGTCTCCCATGGGGTGCAGGGCCCAAGCACCTGGGCCATCCTCCACTGCACTTCCCTGGCCACAGCAGAGGGCTGGCCTGGAAGAGGGGCAACCGGGACAGAATCCGGAGCCCCTACCGGGACTAGAACCCGGTGTGCCGGCGCCGCTAGGCGGAGGATTAGCCTAGTGAGCCGCGGCGCCGGCTGAAAGAAAATATTTTTTAAAAGTTGGTCCTGATTTTGAGGTGCAAAAACATTTATAGTGATGATAACTTAAACACATGTGTTCAGCAACATTCACCTTTTGGATAATGGAGCTGCTAAAAAAGCAAATAAAAATCGTTCAAAGGAAAAGATGAACCAGTACTAGGAGGCAATCAAGACTGTTAAGTTTCAAACATCAAAACTGACTCAATATTTTATTTCTATATCCCAGGATTTCTTTTTACCTATGCTTAAATAAATGAAAAAATTCATATATTAACACTTGTCATTATATGACTCCAGTTGTGACAGAAACAAACACTAGTTATTCAGCTGACATAATTAAAAATGAGATTAGTATTGGCAGTACCTGAAATTCCAATCCATAGTTTTCTCTGCAGAATTCTCTCAGCTTAGGATATACATTTTCTCGTAGTGCCTGTCTTTCTGCTCCTGTGTCTGTAGTATAAAAACAAACACACAGAATATGAATACATCATAAATATTTTCTCCCCAAAAAGGAAAACTTAAATATTGACCTTAACATAATCAAGTTGGAGTGCTAAACTGGGACATGATGGGATGTCTGGCTGTTGGGATAATTCCAAAGAGATCCATCCACCAGGTGTGCACACACAAAGCCTGTTGGAAGGAGGGAGCTCCATAGTGACTATTGTGTGTGCTGGCAGAGCTGAGATTTCACAGTTGAGTTTTATGTTCATGCAGGCCTTAAATAGCCTTAAAGAGCCTGACTCTTAAATAGCCAGGATCATGCTCCCTTTCAGAGAGGTAGAAGGAAACACTACAGGGCTATCAAATGTTCTAGACTCACAGAATATAAAAGTTTCAACACACACACACACACATATTATTTACTGATTAAAAAAAAAAAGACTATCACCGTTGCCTAAAGTATCTAGAAATAATCCATCTTGTACAAGATTCAGTATAGCATCCATGCAATCAACACAATAATTAAGAGAGAGAAATTGTGAGAGCAAACATTTGAAAGTAACAGATTCTATCCACCATGGATTCAAATGGCCAGTGGTTTAACATCGTAGTATTGCCTTCTCCAGACTTAGGGGAAATGGGAAACATTTTAGATGTGCAACATACAACATTTCTGAATAAAGTATTTTTATTAACTCTTGTCATTAAAAATACACGAAGAAATAGAGAACCTAAAACCAGAAGGATCACAGAGCGCATGTGTATTTAATGTTGCATGTCTTGCAGGAAAAGGACTTGGGAGCCACCTGTGCTAAACGAGAAGCTTCTCCTGCATCAATGACGACACCATCAGCAGAAGAGAGGCTGTTCCATGCCTAACTAATGTCAGAGAAACACGGTTTTCAAAAATTAGGCTAATGTGTTATCTCATGAAAAGTAGCATTTGCTAAATGTGTCTCCATCCCAGCCATAACCATGAAACATTTGCACACATTATAACAAAGACACCAATTTACAAGAATTTCCTTGTTATTTTCAACCACATCTGTCCATGGAAAAGCAGCCATATGCTGTGTTGACCTAATCTGTTTTCCTACTGTTCCCAAGCCTATTTTGAGCCGCAAATAACCAATCATGAGAGTCTGAAATGCAGCTGCAGGCTGGCAGAGTGTTAGTAACCAGTGTTTACATGGAACTCAAAGAGCCAGAGAAATACAAGATCTTCTAGATTGCTGAGGTTCACATGAATAGGGTCCTTTCCCACTTAAGATCCAATGTGGGTCTAAGCCCAGCAGAAAAGCATGGGGGGCCAACTGAGCAGAGCCCATGGTATTACAGCGCTGCGGAAGGCAGCAATTTAAATCTTTACATAAATTATATAATCTTAGGGTAAGGTGCTCATTGTCTTTTTGCTCATTTAAAAGCCAAAAACACTATTTTCACAGAAAAGCTGAAAGGCCTTAGAATTTAAAAACCCACATAAGGAAAATAATTTTAAAGGTAAATAAGTACTACTCCATGTGGAATTTAGGAATACATTAAATAAGGATTATTGTTACAAATTATAAAAAATAATACCTACATCCAAGAATTATGGATAAGAGAAACAAAATTTTTGTTTAAAAACGTTACTTTTATGTCTTATTGCTAGCTTCTGAGATCTGAAGGTACAATAGTAAGAAGGAAAAGAGAAATACGGTACACAATTATTAACATTTACTGAGTGCTTATTACATTCCAGTTGTGTGCTAAGTAAGTATTTCCTTAGTCATTTCTGATGACCATTCTATAAAATAGTTCGAACTATTGCTCTGTTCTTTTAGCAGAGAAAATTGAAAGGTACAGGGGTTAAAAATTTGCCCCAGATCATATGGCTGCTACATCAGAGAACTGAGATTTGGATCCAGGCAGCTGTATATCATAGTCTGCTTTAACCATGGAAATAAGCAACTGGGAAAAGAATGAATCTTTAAAACTGGCCAATGTAATGACCAATGAAATGGGTAAGGGAGGTAGAAGTTCTAGGTTTGTGAAATAAAAATGTTTGAGATTCTTCTTTCTGTAATACATCCTTCAACAACCAACCCAGCATATGTTTTCTCACTCTACCTCTAAGCAAATCCTGAATTAATCTACTTATCTTACCTCTGCTCGTAGGTAAAAATTCAGCCCTTCTTTGGACTCTTATCTCCAGATTTCCATATTTATCTCCTTAAAACCATTCACCACAGAGCAGCCAGAGCCCTTCCACAGCTCTTCGTGAACTTGGAATGAAGTCTATACTCTGCACTATCCATGCTCTCTCTTCCTGTTCATGTCACTCCAGCAGCACTGGCCTCCGCTTGGTTCCTGAATTCCACTCCAACTCCTGAGCGTTTGCTTTAGCTGTGACTTCCTGCAGTACTGCCCAGTTCTGGGGCCACTGCATGGCATTTATAGCCATTCCAGTGTTAGCATTAGTGCCATCTCCTCAGAGACCTTCTTGGAGTACTTCACTACAGAAGCCACTGAACCCCCTTCTCCTAACTCATTTTAATTCCTTGCACATTACTCATCACTATTACTGCTTTTTTGTTTACTGTCTATCTCCCCCACTGAGACATGAGCTCAAAGGGAGATGGAATCCTCTTTTGTCTCACTCACTGTTGCATCCCAGTGATTAGAATCATGCTCAATGAATGAATGAATGAATGAAAACCCACACATGCACCAGCAACAAGAGTGAGCTCACAGGCAACACTGCTTTGTGATTTCCTCTGGAAATGGTAGGCTTCCTACATTACCATGCGTCACTGGACAGCTATAAAACAAAGACGATGTAAAATTCTGGGGAACAAACAACAGGTTTAGAAAGTTGGTGTCATGAAGTAAATGAATGAACTGAAATATTTCTTTTTTGGTTTCTGGCAGAATATGAACATATTTTTACTAAGTTATTTTGCATCTTTCTAAATATATGAAGAAAGCATATGAAGATATCTGATAGGCATTCTGTGCCCTTACTTACATTACAAAAATGACTCAGACTTTCCTATTTTTGTATTAATTTATGATGATTTGCTCTGAAAATGTGAAAGTAATTAAGATAGAATGGATTAATTATTATGGGTGACAGATAAACTGGCTTAATTAAATTAAGAAATCTGATTCATACCAATGGCAAACTTGGGTGTTTTGCAATGAAAATCATTTGAATGTCACAGAAAAAACTGACTCACAGAATCTCACACATTATAAGGAAACTTTTAAAAAGGTACAGATGAAAGTACATCATTATTTAATTTTTATACATAGTCATTATATCCATTTGTATCTGCTCAGTTCTTTAATGCTTTGAAGATGCATTAAGACTTTGGCTGAACTATTAGTTTTGAAGGAATTGCTTTCTAAATTATTCCTTGGTGATTTCAGAGGCAACGAAGGTCTCTATGCAGTGTCTGTCACCCACAGGAAGCACATTCACTGGAGGAGAATTATTAGTCAATTCCATTATCCTTGAAACATTTTGATTTTACTTCAAGAATGGTTTGGAAATATTGCCAAATTTTTATTAAAAATAAAAGGGTGCCCAAAGGATCATACTAGATTAGAGCCTCCTACAGCTCCTCCCTCCCCCAAACTTAAGACATAAATATTAGATGAAGTTTAGTTGTTTCTACAGTTCTGGCAACTAAGAAAATTGAGAATCCACCACACATCCTCTGCTGCAACTGTTATTCACACTTCATCTCCCAGCTGTCTGTATATCAGCTCTTGCCTGCATTGTCTCCCTCTACTCATCCATTAACCAAACTTCTTCTGTTGTTATTTAGGTTACTTTCTTACTTGCCCATTTCCCAAGATGGTGTCTTCTCTCCAAAGCCCTCTGATAAACCCTTTGTATCAAACTAGCCATGTTCATTCTTCCTTTTTTTTTCTTCTTCTTTTTTTTTAACTTTTGTTTAATGAATATAAATTTCCAAAGTACAGCTTATGGATTACAATGGCTCCCCCCCTCCCACAACTTCCCTCCCACCCCATTCTTCCTTATTTTTAAAGATTTATTTATTTCAAAGAGTTACAGACAAAAAGGGAGAGAGGGAGAGGGAGAAGGAGAGAGAGAAGGGGAGAGGAAAGGGGGGAAAGGGAGAGGGAGAGAAAGGGGAGGGGAGAACAGAGAGGGGAAAGGGGAGAGAGGGGAGGGTGGGAGGGATATCTTCCATCCACTGGTTTACTCCCTGGATGGCCACAATGGTCAGGGCTGGGCCAGAATGAAGTCAGGAGCTTCATCTGGGTCTCTCATGCGGGTTGCAGGGGCCCAAACACTTGGGCCATCTTCCACTGCTTTTGCCAGGCTATCAGCACGGAGCTAAATTAGAAGTGGAGCAACAGAGACAAGAATCAGGGCCCATATCCGATGCCTGGATCCCAGTCAGCAGCTTTATTCTCTAAACCACAATGGGGGCCCCTCATTCTTTGTTATTTTAATACTAGCAAATCTTGTGAATTTTATGTCATAAACATCTTTTCAATTTGATCACTATATTTTTTAGAAACAAATTATGGGAATTTCATTTTCAACTCACAACCTGATATTTTTACATAAGAATGGGAGATCATGTTTGAGACTCAATGCATTTTTTTTTTTTTTTTTGACAGGCAGAGTGGACAGTGAGAGAGAGAGACAGAGAGAAAGGTCTTCCTTTGCCGTTGGTTCACCCTCCAATGGCCGCCACGGCTGGCGCGCTGCGGCCGGCGCACTGCGCTGATCCGATGGCAGGAGCCAGGTACTTCTGGTCTCTCCCATGGGGTGCAGGGCCCAAGCACTTGGGCCATCCTCCACTGCACTCCCTGGCCACAGCAGAGAGCTGGCCTGGAAGAGGGGCAACCGGGACAGAATCCGGCACCCCGACCGGGACTAGAACCCGGTGTGCTGGCGCCGCAAGGTGGAGGATTAGCCTAGTGAGCCGCCGCGCCGGCCAGACTCAATGCATTTTTAAAATTAAAAAAATTAGTTTATTTACTGGAAAGTCAGAGAAGGAGGGAGTAAGGAAAGGAGGGAAAGAGATGTGGTAGAAGAGAAGGAGAATGAGGGGAAGAGGAGATTTTGATTATTTTCCTTTCTGTTGGCTCACTCCCCAAATGCCTGCAACAGACAAAGCCAAAAGCAGGGAACTCAACTCAAGTCTCTCATATGGTTGACAGGCACTCAAGTCATCACTTTCTGTCTCCCAGGGTGCCATCAACAGAGATCTGGAATTGCACAGAGCCAGGATTCAAATCCTGGCACTCCACTATGGGATGTAGGCATCCCAATCAGTGTCATGATGGAATGAAAATGAACACAGCTATTATGTAGAACAGTAAGGAGGTCTTAAAAAAACTAAAAATAGATCTACTACATGACCCAACTATCCCACTTTTGCAAATATAGCTAAATGAAATGCAGTCATCCTACGATATACTTCACTCCCACATTTATTGCAGCACTATTCACAACAGCAAAGATATGGAATCAACCTAGTTATCCATCAATGGATTTATGGAGAATGAAATTGTGGTCTACATACACAATGGAATATTACTCAGAAGTAAAAAAAAAAATAATCAAATACAAGCACTTACAACAAAAAGGATAGAGTTGGCAATCATCATGCTAACTGAAATAAGCCAAACACAGAAAGACAAAAACTACTTGTTTTCTCTCATATTTTGAAGCTAGAATTATATATGTATATACATACAGTAAAAAATGAGAATGGAGCATTTTTTGTATGCAAATGTCTATAAGTGCTGTCTTTGTGGAGTTATGCTCCTTCCTTTCCCCATTTTATGATATCTAACTGTGCTCATATTTCCCAAACTTTCCCAATCTTTTTTGTTTGGCTGTATCTCTTATATGCAACATAGAGTTGGCTTTAGTGTATGACCCATTCTGAAAACCATTTTATCTTAAAAAGATTTACTTTTGTTAAAGTAAAAAATAATAAACTAAGCACACTATTTTCATACTTGCTGTCTACTTAAAGAGAACAAAATCTTCTATTTGATTGATCTGCTACCTGTCCCTCCCTCACTACAGTCTGATGTTTCACAAAGCTTCCACGAATAAATTCTGAGGTATAAGAGAA